ACACAAACTTGAATATACCTCTGTAGTATGTGATAAAAAACACCCACGTTCTAGCTTTTGGTGCTAATTCAATGCCTTTTAAAGGCACTCAATTAATTTAAAACATAAGAAAAAAAAGAGACACCTTTGGTAAAGTGATTAGTTCAGACTCCAAGAGCAGACAAAAGACAGAGCAGAGAGAAGAGTCTAGAGACTGAGGTGTAAAATTACAGATAAGTACCAAATATACTCAGCAATTTCTTAGCAGAGAACCTAATAAGGATTTTAAACAGATGACATTTGCATTTGCAGTAGTCAGACTGACAGAACAGATGTGCTAAAACCCATTTAAAAAAGCCCCAATCTGACAGCCTTGTCAAGGTTTGTTAGGGACACGATTTGCACGTCTGCAAAATGAGCTCAACAACGTCTCTCTCTGAGAAAGAGAAGTGCATTTTGAGAAAGAAAATGAAACACATTCACATTGTAAAAAAGTGAGGGAGTTAATATAGTCTACTTCATAATTACCTGCATTTTGAAAGTGAGTAGAAAAAAGTATATAAAAATAGTAAATGGTTATCTTAAAACGACTCTTTTCATGGCCCTCTGATTTCTACTTTCAGTGAATGTCAGTGAAGTAGGGAGCCTTGCTGAAGCCAGCTGTCCCAAAAGGACTGTGTAACACCTTCTCTCAATTTGCACAATATCTCTAGTTTCCTGGGACATCAGGCAGTTGTCTGTAATGCTGGGCAATTAGGCCTTCAGTTTGCACTTGAGTGAATTTCCTTCCAAGTTTGTGATTTATTTTCTACTGCACACATTTGCTACTTTAGCTCCTTTGCTGCCTTCTTCCAACCACAGTAATTATGTATCTACCTGTGCTGAAAAATCAAGGTTTGATTACAGAAAAAAGTAATGGAGGCTCAGAGAGGCTTTTGAGTAGGTCTGATTTTAATGGAAAAGGGAGACCCAGTGAAAAGAAACCCCAGAACTTTCTGCCTGACAGAGCTGTGGCTTCTCTGCTTGCAGACCAAGTTTGCTGGCCTTCTGATGATATTGGAAAGCTCCAATGTTTCAGTCTGAGTTACGAGACAGTCTCAAATGAACAGCAGCAGCCACCCACAATTAATGTTATGCTCCTATCTCAGGACACAAACAAAAACAAACTGGGAGGCAAACCCAGCTTTTCCTCAGAATTATTCTGTACTCCAAAACAGAAAGGTATAGTCTTTCAGTCTAGCTCTAAATTTCCCTACTTTTCTATTTGTCTAGATTTTGGGTTTAAAGTCTCTTATCAAGCAGCAGCAATAGGAGACATAAATATAAACTTTGATGAACATCAGAATCACTTCACAAACCAAAAAGGTGAAAGAATATAGTCTGGGCAACAAAAGCAAATTTGGAAAACACATTACCAGTCTAAAGACTTTTTAATGGGTATATATTCACATTGCCGATTATTCAAGCAATTACAAAATATGACATTCGGATCTCAGGCTTCTTTAACTCAAATATATTCCAGTTGTTTGCTTTTACCATCAAAAGTAAATTTCAGGGGATTAAGTTTCAGAACTCCAAGATAATTAAAGCTGTCTTGCTCTTTTTGCAACTACAAACATCACCTTTCAGAAATATAATGTATGCTGAATCTTGAAAGTTGAGATAACTTGAAAAACAACTCACATTTTGATATAATGACACCAAAAAGAAGACTTTCTGATAAAAGACTACATTTGTCTCTGGATTAAATTCACTTAGCAGCAATTTCTAGAAGTCCTCTATTTAGCTGCAAACTCATGCAGGAATTAGTCTTGTGAATAGTGCCTGCAGACTACTCTATCAGTCCCCAGTGACCACAGACCAGGGCACTAGTTCTTACTTAGTCCTTACAGACTGTGCCCACCCTCTACATTAATCAGTACATCCTCACTTTATGCTGTTGCTCTCTAGAACAGTTTAAAAATAAATTCTCAGGAAATATATCTCTATATCTCTATCTGTATATTAGATTTCAAGATATATGCAGATCGGCGAATCCACTGCTCAACAGTATTTTCCTGAATAGTCAGACTTACTGAAATTTTAGTGCAAAAAAGTACAAAATATGATAGAAGAAATTTCTAAAAAAGAAGCGTAAAAGAAGCCTTCTGTATTTCGGTTTTTCACAGTCTAATGGATTTGCCTTTCTTGCTTTATATTCTATGCATTTTTCTATTAATCTTGATAGTAAACCAAAAGTGTTGGCACATGGTTGGGGAGAGTGGCTCAGAAATACAGAGAGTTGCATATCAAAAGCCAGCACTAGAACATCAATACTAATTTTTAAAATTCATTTCTATTGCACATGCCTGCAGAGAGTCCTCAAAAAGAGGAAAAATGTGACATTTCTAACTTCACAGACACAGAGTGTCACGAATGCTCCATTCTTTTTAAAAAGATAGTTTCAATATAGAGAGTACTCTGTCTGGAGTACTCTTGGAGAACTCTAACTTCTCTAAAAGGTATTCTGCGCTCAGCAGGATATAAATAAATCCCCACTCTGAAGAAGATACCTCTGCAGTCACTCATGGCTCTCCAGGGGAAGGAAAAGCATTTTTTTCCTTCTTGGAGAAAAAAAGCCCCAGAGTGTTTTGTTTGCCTGATTGAGGAAAAGATTCAGAAATCAGTTGGTATGTCTTTGAAGTTCAAAACAAAAATTATGACATAGCTGTTTCTTTTCCTTTTTCTTTTCCATTTTTACTTGCTGGACTAAATTTTATGTGTTTAGATATTTGAATGCAAGTTATTAAACACTTAACTGATGACCATTAGCATTCTTTGATGCATGGCTTTACTTCTTCACCTGGTCACCCTATATATATTGCTTTAATAAAACTTTTTGTGAACTTATTATTATAGCAGATGTTACACTCTAGAGACAAAGGTGACATTTGGAATCTACTGATAAGTCCTTGTACATTTTGTGTAGGAAGCTTCTAGATAATTTCATGGCCCCAGCAATAGAGAAAGGAGATCTAGGGTGTTCTACTTTTGGCTTATTTTACCTTTTTGATAAATGGGAGATAGAAATAATCCCTTTTGGCTATTAAAGTAGTTTAAACACATATTTATTTTTAGCTTTTCTGGCTCTAGCCTCTGGACTTGTCTGCAGCCATGTTAAGTTCTGGTAAATTTTGTGCTGAGATCTTTATAGGAATATCTACATGAGAATGTAATAGCTGGCTGCTGTCACGAGAGCAAAGTCTACAAACGAAGACTCTATGCTCTTAAGGGCAAAGAAAACAACCTTTCATTTTACAGATGAGCACATGTTCAAAGATCCAAAACATTTTCTCTACCTTGCATGGCTTCTTTATCCTGCTGCCATATAGTTCAAAGATTTTTCCATCTTAATATCTGGAGACTATTTTCTAACAGGAACTACTAGATAGTTTGGTATTTTCTTAATAAGCAGGATAAATAAAGTTTATTATTCTTTAAAATCAAGACATCAAACCAGTTTTCTTCCTAGTTAAGTTCACTACAAAAAAGCCCTGGAAAAAGACGTATGACATACATTACTGCATGCTCAGTGACCAGCTGTTTTAAATTTGGGTATTAAGTAATTCACTCTTTGCTGTGTGCAAGAGCTGAATGATTTAATAAATCCCCATATGCCCCAACATGTGCCAGCTATACTGGGTTATTGAAAATCCAGCTGCTGTTATGATAATAGATTCCAATGCTAAAACTACTGAAGAGAATAATGAAGCAACTTCAAGTCAACTAAGACATAAACTGACACAGTTCCACTAAAGATACGTGGGAATACAACACATCTGTTAATTAAAAACTAACACTGATCCATAGTCACATGAAATTTAGTGCCAAGAATTCATGGGCATTGTTTGTGGTGGAAAATTAATGCAAATCAACCTGTATGAAGACAAGCAGCTCCATTTCCATCAGTTGTCCTAGATGCATAGGAATGTCCTATAAATTACACATTCAGTTTGCAAAACAGATTCTATTGTGTCACAGTTGGCTTTCTTTCTTACATATTGTAATTCCCATGCAGCTATTAGATGACATGTTTTACATAGCTAGACTTCTCAATTTTTCAATTATCACAAAAAAACTGATTATGAAAGTTTGGTTGGTTTGATGTACCAATATTTGAATATAAGATAAGAGTCAAAGGTACAATGTCACTGCCTTAAGTCATTGAACAAGCACACAAACAAAGGAAGCAGAAAAAGAGAAAGTAGCCAAACAAGGTGTCAGAAATTATTCTCCAGACACATGGCTTTTTTGACAATCAGTGCAGAAATATCCATCAAAATATGTCACTATTAACTTTTTAAAAGATAAGAAAATACTTCCTTGGATATGAAATTATTACTTGCAGTTACAAAAGCTTTGCAGGTAGATGCAGCTTTCATCTTTGTGTCAGCATAAGCAAATACATTAATGATACATTCTTTCATTTCTCACAATTAACTCCGTTGTTAAGGGAAATAATTTTGCAATTAATCTAGAACTCATCAGTCCCCTAAGCAAGATTAGAGTGTTACTATATTGATGCAAATTTACATAAGATATAGGACATAAAATACTTATTAGAACAAACAAACACAAAACCAACCATTTGCTGGAGCTGGATCATCTCCTGTACACAAAGTGTGCAATGCTCTAAAGCCACATTAAAGACAACTTCAGTAACTCCAACTTCAAGCAATCTATATATAGTAGTTTATGTATAAAAAAAATCATTTAAGAATGCATTTTTTGGAAAGGACTAGGAATATATTGACAAATTAAAAGCATGTCACGCAGAGATTTAAGATGCTTATAAAAGCTTGAGCATAGGGGCCAACCACATCAAGGGGCTTACAGAAAACTCAAAGACTTTGAAAGCTTAAAGGACCTCATTTTTTTCATACCTTAATTATGAAGTTGCAAATAATTGTGTTTTCAGCCACATGTTCTTGACATTGCAACAAACCCAACACTGTCATTTTCTCAATTATTAGTAGACTTACTTTTCTTTAAGGAAATCCACTACTTGTTTGAAGTCTGCCACACAGTATTCTCTTTTCATGTCCATGAGCACACTGTCAGAGGCTGACTGGACTGGTATGTGTAGAAAAGCATACACTCTTGGATGATTGAGAATCTTGGCCATTTCCTGAGAGTTATTAAAAGAAAAAGAAGCTTTAAAGCATTATGAAAATAATACAGAAAACTCAGATTAATATATGGGGTAAGTATCAGCAGTAATACTACTAAAACCCAAACAATACTAAATTGCCCCAGCCCAGTTTGAAACAGTAGGGACAGGTGAAGATATCTGAAAGCGATTTTTTTTTAGGGGAAAATAAAAATAAAGCAAAGAAATCAAATTTCCTTTGAGATAGCGATCACAAAGGGATCACATTCCCTATGTAGCATTGATTACACAATTAAAAGAAAATTTTAGAGGCAAAGTATTATCAAAATTGGTAATTTCAGACAGTGGCTGTTTTCAGAAGATGGCAAGGATTAGTTGCTTTCTTGTTGGAATAAAGTAACTTCTTAGATACCAAAATGAGAATGTCTGTAATTGGAGCATCCCTAAAGTCAGCCAGTTGCTAATTAAGGTACACCTCATCACTTGCAAACATGCTCCGATACTGGTCTGAAATGTTGCCTGTGTTACTTCAGAGAAAAGGACTGAAATTAAAAGTGCTTGGCTATAATATGAATAGAATTAATCAGGGGCAGCTTAAAACTGGAGTGACAGCTTGGAAAGAGACACAGGATGTGATACATTTTGTACAAATGCAAAAGGTCAGGGGGGGAAAAAAAATTAAAGGTAAGAGCAAAATGCAAAACCTAATGAAAGCCAAACCAACCTCCCAACAGAGGCTTGGCAAGGAGAAAGAATGTGAGACAGAATAGAATATGGTGGTCCAGTTTCTCTCATTTTTATTATTTAACCAATTAAGGACATACAGTCAAGCAAAAAAGTTTAAGTATTTTTTAAAGTTGAAAAATTTAAAGCATTGAGATATGGTACCATACTGCTTGTTAATCTTTGTCCTGCAACCAATAAGTGAACTTGGGCAAAGAACCATATTCCATGAACAAGCCGGTCTTCACATATGGTTTTTGATTTTCCCTTTCTCCCTGAGCTGTGGGCATTCAGGAAATGGCCTGGGACTGAGCGCTGCTCTTCTGCCAGTGCACTCTGTGTGCTCCAGTCAGGCTCACTCAGGCCATTTCTACTGTTTTCTCTGTTGGCACAGATACTCTGGCTGACAACACATACTGCTGCCATATTTACTTTTTAAGCTGCAACTATTTACAAATTCTTCCAGACCATTAATCAGCAATATTAGTTACGCATCTAGATTTTCTCTCTGTATTTCTAAAAGGCTGCCCTAGATTGTTCAAAGAGAAGGCAGACACCCTCAAGACTTTTCATTTGCAGGAGCTCAGCTTTTAAAAGCATTGATTTTTAGAACAAGAAAAAAAAATGCTCTCTCCATACTCACTTTTCATCTGACAAACAGATGTGTACAAAACCCGAAACTCTATCAAATCACTTCTGGAAGCAGTTTTGAAAGTTTCTGTCTAAGATCTTATTACATAAATGTCTCAGAGAAGTGGTTACATTATTCAAGGCAACAGCTACTCCATCTCAGGTATGTAAACTCAATTTGATGCACAGAATTGCACACAATTTGATACACAGAAAGGCTGTGTGCAGTGAACCTGGCTCTCAGTGGAAGCTGGAGGTAGCTGGTTTAATGAAAAAAGAGTGAAGAAAAGGCCACCATGCATCCACACAGATTTTGTGTCCAATTCAAATGGAACTATACTTATCTGTGCCCTTAATAATTGTAGATGTTCAGCTAGAAGATATTTTCAAAAATGAAATTGTACAGAACAAGTACCTAAAAGTGGGAAACTTTCTTTTTTTAAGCTTTAGAAAATCTTGTGAATGTAATTTATATGAAGCATCCTTGTAGTCATCTGTGACTTTTCTGTCTATCAGTAATCAAATATATTTCTAAAATATGGAAAATATGAGCTGAAAATTAAGCTACGGACCACAAGCCTATTATTCTGCTTATCTCTTGGTTCCAAGTACTTTATTCAGTTTTCAAACACAGATTTATGATATAAGGAATGAACGAAAGTCATGTTTCATAACGTGCCTCTAAATCTGCCAAGTTCTTAAAATAACTCACTCTATGACAGAGGAAAAAAAATTCTTTGCCCTTCCTCTCAAATTTTGCATCTTCTGAATAACAGACTCTTTAATATGAGATCAGTTTGTGAATTCTTTTTGAGAGTAATAAATCATTAGAATTTCTAGATATGGAAGTGTTATTTTAATTCAGCTTTTGTAAGGCTGAGAAACATCTGATAGAACAAAAACCCAAACAGATTCACTGTGTCTGTTTGTTTGTGATAGAAATATTCGATCTTAACAAACCCTACCTTGTTTTACCATGAAGTTTTGATTTTTAAAGTCACAAATGTGGAAATTCTCTAGTTATATGAAAATGTTGGTTTTATTTCTCATATTCACATTAAACAATGAAAATGTTATGGTGAAATGTGAAGAATGAAAATCAAATTCTAAAATCTCAATTTTCCTCCTCAGAGAAATCAAAAAAACCAAAGCACCCAACCAACCCCAAAGCCACTAGCTGCTGGTCTGACAGTAACATGTAGAATCCTGCTGGTCTCACAGTTAATCTCTTTCAGGGGGCCAAGAGGGAGCTTTTGACTGCACTTCCTGTAAGAGGAACCAAACCAATAGTGTCCACCATCCAGTGTTAAACAAGACTAATCAGAATTGCTTCTTGCAGTTATCCCCCATGTAAAAGAAAGAAAACACATGTTTTCTGTGATCACTGTTGTCGATAACTTTCAGGATTAAGAACGCAACTGTTGTCATTTAAAGTAATTACCCTTGGTTCTGTACCAGTGGGATGTAAAATGCCTGGCATTAATTATCTGAACTTTTCAACTATCCCTACAGATCCCTGCATACAATAAAAGCTACAGCTGTAAGCTCAAAAACATTATTGATTATTCCACTGCATCATTTTGGTTCAGAAAGATACTCCATATCAAAAGAACTGGCATTCCTTACAGAGTAAATAGCTTGCCATGTGTAGCAGAAATTCACATGCAATACACACATGGTCTGTCTGGGAACACTAACACAGCCTAGCTGCTGTGGTCATAGGTTTCAGGGATCTTATGGACACTCAAAGCTCCTTCTAAGATGGAGGCTGCAAACAGCTCTTTATACTGTGAACTTCTTTCTTTACTTGATTTCTGTATCTAAAGGTACACAAAATGCACTGCATGTGCTTTGAATCAAAGATCCTAATGATAAACTGATTCCCCAGCAGGTACCTGAGGACTGTAACAATTAACTTTGTGAATTTAGCACAACACAAATTATTCACACAAACCAAACACAAGACTGAAACACCTGATGACCCACTATTTCATTGTCACTCACTTCTGCTGGTGGTCTCAAATTTACCTTTTATAACCAGAAATTCTGAATGAGCCATTCAGAAGGAAACAGAATAATGAATTAAACAAAAGCTTTGCTTGATTGCATCAGAAATCTGGATAAATCAATCTTCCAAACTTTGCACCTTTCAGATAGAAATATCACATTCTGACCTGTAGCTTTAAGGTAAGACTGTTCCAGTCTTATCTTTCATCCTCCCTAGCACTAAAATAACACTGAAGTTCTTTGCCACATAGGTTTGATTAAATTACAACTACTCTGCACTTAACAGTCATACTTAGTCAATGCTGACAGATTTTCCCATACTACAGATTGCACATAGAATATCAGATTTCATCACTGAATAAAACTATTAGTTAATATCCCAAAGAGTATATGAAGGACATCACGGGCTAATGCATATTTTTACTTCATCATGTCTCAACGTTCCAAGCTTAACATCTATTTCCTGTTGATTTTCTATAATTATATACATTTATTTTTTTTCTGAAGTGCTGTGCATTACTAGGTATAATTACATGTTTCAGTTAGAAAAAAAACAAGAATTTTATTTTCATCTGGAAATAATAAATGAACAACGTTTGAAACTATATCACTGTGAAAGAAACTTTCTGTCTTTCATCATGACTGAAACAGTGATTGCCTTTTCTTGCTATTCCCTGGAATCTGATAATGTGTCTATGAATGAAGGGATGCACTACACAAAAATGAAATATCATGTAGGAACTTAAAGTTTAAAAAGTAGCACAATTTGTTTTAACCTGGCTCTACAAAAATAGGCGTCATCTACATTTGGAACATAATAATGTATGTGAAGCATCCTTCAGGATACTGATCACATATGAAATATTTTTTTCCAGTCCTTAGCAGCTGGAGTGCATTAGAATACAAAGCACATTACTAGAAAGATTTCTATTTAGTCAGTGTATTTTATCCTAGCAATTACAATACACAAATTTAACCACCTAACCAGAAAATCACACCTCCTGTTTGCAGTGACACCATGTGCAACCACAGAAAATTGCAGAGACAATAAACATCAATATCTCTGCATCTTTATGGCAGTACCAGCAAGCTGTTCAGACAGCAATTCTTTCCCCTTACCTAAAGCAGGCAAAAATCCAAGTATTTGAATTCTGTCTTGTGTTTGAGTCACGATAATGTGAATAGCTTGCTTGCTAGCAAAAGGATTTTGTCCTCTGCCAGCAGTGAAGCCCAAAGAAATCCTCGTCCACATGGAAACATGACAAAATGGCACTCCCTCAGAACTTCATCCCTTTGTGGCAGATATTACTTTGGGATATGTCACGAGGGGTGTCTGCTGGCTGTTGTCTTTCAGAAGCTGAGCCGTGCTACCACCAGCACAGTCTGGATGAAAATCAAGTGGCTGTGGCCCATTTTATAAATTCCTCTGCTGCAGTGCAGCTCAGGAACAGATGTGATCTTGTGATGCAGGCATGGGAATGATGACACAGTTATGATCCAGTCTGGAAAACCCATAGCAGTTTTGTTAAAACGAATGAACAGAGAACTCTCCCCCATTTCCCACCCCCTGTGAGCAATGGGGCTTTAAAAAACTAAGAACATGTGGGACGTCCCTGAGGACACTGGTTGGAAGGCAGTGCCTCTCCCTCATCTGTGTA